CCATTGAAGCTGAATTCTGCCATGTTCACTTTATGAAAATTGCTCTTGCAAAGGTCACTGATGAAATTTTTATTGCTAAATCCAGCATCCTTTCCACTTACCTCTCTCTGCTGCAGCTAATACTACTGGACACTGCATTCTGGAAAGTAGCACTAGCTTAGTTTCCATGACACCACACACACACACTTGTTCTCCCAGACCGCAACTCTTCTCTTGCCTTCAAATACATGAATGTAAATGTTCTTTCAAATCGTTGCTTGGTCCCCTGACCTTTTCTCTCTTCTCTATTCCACTGAAGGAGACAATCCCTTGTTTCATCACTACTCACAGAATAATTCCTTTGAAGTACATTCCTAAACCTAAGAGGCAATCATAAATCTCAAATTCTCCACTGCCTTTTCTGTTAGATTACACAATCATTTCAAGGTCAGCATTTTGGATCCAATGTATTGCCTCTATCTCCTCCCAGTGGACTCTCTACAATCTGATCCACAGCAATTGCATCTTATCATTCCAAATGACTTGTGCTACACTTTGGATATATCCCCCAAAGTTCCAACTTATTTCTCCCAAAACATATGTCAACAGGGCCTTTTGGAAAAGAGTAGTTATTTGTAAGCTATAGATTCCTGGCTTATCTTTGGGTGACTTTACTGTTAAAAGCAAGCCTTCTCTAGCATGCTCACTCTGTTTCACCACTGGTACCTCTCCCCATATCATAATGCAACAAGAATGCTCTCTCCAGAGGCTAGCACCATGTTCTGAGACTGCCCAGAGTCTATAACTATGTTATAAACCTCTACTCATTATAAACTAGCTAATCTGTGACATTCACTATAGCTACAGAAAATGATAGCAAGCAATAAAAAGTTTAGAATAAAGTATAGTTTGAGTTAATATCATAAGACTTTTATTCTGATCTTTTCCCCATCATTCCTTTTCAGTAAGTATGATTATATATATTTGATTTTATACAATAACATAACAGGGTGGTAATTACTTACTTTTAATTATCCATTGCATTTATCCATCTAAATGTTCTTTAAATATTCTTGAAATTAACAGAACCCATGGGAAATAATTCTTAGTAGTAAAATTTTTAGTGCCGCCCCTCATCCACTTCAATCTCTCCCTCTCTGGTTTTTCCTAAGAGTTTTCATGATTGTAATATACCACAAATACCCAAGACCTTAGGATCCTAAGGTATGATAGAATCCTTCATGTTTCAGTCATGTAACCCTTTAATTACTTCTTACATATCTGCCTTGTTGCATCCATTCTTTTGGTTCTGGCAATGTCTTCTTTGTCTTCTCTGAAGATAACCTCTATTTTATGCTGACTAAAGCAGGACACCTCTACTGTGACCACACACATCGCCCTGTTTCTTCTAAATACACTGTTGTCTTTACTTCTTCATGGGAGGCAACCAGATGGAAACCACAGCAGCCTATACCTGAATGTTCACTGGCAAGAAGGCATCCAAAGGTTGGTTCTCTGTGAGAACTACACTCAGTTCTGAAAACTCAGGAATCATTTTCCTACACCTTGATATAAAGAGTCTCCATTTCTCTGTTAAAAACAATTCTTGGTTTCCATCTTCATGCTTACTAAACCATGGGCTATCAGAAAGCCTGAGAAATATTCCGTGGTAGGGGCACTTAAAAAAAAAAACAGTACCCACTTTTTCAACCTTTGTCTCATTCTAATAGCAACCAAACCTACTTTTCAACCAAGATTTCCTCTTTATAGTATTTCCATATGCAGCAATACCCTTGTCACTAGTCCCCAACAGAAATATAAATCTCTATTCCACCAAGCTCTTTTGGGTTGCCTTATATATTCCCCAGGCTGGTTCCATAGCTTCATCAAAGTTAAAAAAGATTCCATTCTACACTGATATCTGAACCCATATATATATATATATATATATATATATATATATATATATATATATATATTAGAGACAGGGTTTCTCCATAGCTTTTTTGGTTCCTGTCCTGGAACTAGCTCTTGTAGACCAGGCTGGCCTCGAACTCACAGTGATCTGCCTGCCTCTGCCTCCCGAGTGCTGGGATTAAAGGCGTGCGCCACCACCGCCTGGCCTGAACCCTTTTTTATAACAGAATGGTAATTCCCTAATTTATTATGAAGACTATAAGCAACTGGTTAACCTATTCTTTGAATTTTATGGTATTCACTAATTAATACCTCAACCTGGAATTACATATTCCCTGGGTTCATAGTAAAGTTGACCTTCAGCTTTTATTTATAGAATTACCTAGACATTTTATTCAATTATATTATACCATGTGTTGCTACTAAACTCTATGTCAAAAAAATCTTAACCTGGAACTGTGGCAATGGTTCAGTAGATACAGTGACTACTGCTTAAGCATAAGAACCTAAGTTCATGTCCCCAACACTCACATAAAAGTTAGGTATGGCATCACACTTCAGTGATGATCAGAGCTGGATGTATGATATGAAAAGGGTTTTCTGCTCAGCCAACTAGGCAAAATGAGGAAGCTCTAGATCCACAGAATGAGTTTGTATCAAAAAATAAGGCAAAGGCCAAAGAGAAAGCCATGCAATCATGACTTCTGACACTCACATATCTGCACACACAGTTTTTGATCTTAACCTTATTGTGGTGGCTTAAATCAGAATGGTCCCAATAGGCTTGTGTATCTGAATACTTGGTCCCCAGTTAGTAGAACTCTTTGAGAAGGATTAGGAAGCGTGGCCTTGATAGAGGAGGTTTGTCCCTGGAGGTGGGCTTTGAGGTCTCAAAAGACTCATATTGTTCCCAGCCTTCCATTATCTGTCTGGTCTTATGGCTGTGCCTCAGTATATCGGCTGCCAGCTACTGTTGCAGGGCAAGTCATGCCTGCCTACATGATGCCATTCCCCCACCATGATGGTCATGGACTCTAACCCTCTGTAACTATACACCCTACTTAAAGTCTTTTATTAGTTGATGTTGACTGAGGTTTCTGTCCTGCCCAGTTCCCGCAGTCATTTAGTCCCCAAAAAAATCATGCAGATGCCTACATTAATTATAAACTGATTGGCCTAGTATCTTAGGCTTCTTATTAACTCTTATAACTTATATTAGCCCATAATTTTTGTCTGTGTTAGCCATGTGGCTTGGTACCTTTTTCCACAAGACAGTAACATCTTTCTTGTCTGGGTCACAACTGCAGACTGAAACTTCCCTCTTCCCAGAATTCTCATTGCCCTCCTCTACTTCCTGCCTGGTATCTCCACCTATACTTCCTGCCTGGCTACTGGCCAATCAGCGTTTTAATAAAAATAAGACAAGTGACAAGATAAAAGACCATTGCCCCACAGCTTAATTTCCTTGGCCATGGTCATCTCTTATCACAGTACTAGAAAAATAACTAAGATATTTTTGATGAATCAAAAAGTTAAAATAAGAGAAGGCTTATACAGGAGATCACTTTGAGATTAATCTTTAAAACATATAGGATTTAAATAAAGAGAAAAAGAAAAAGGAGAATTTTAAGAAAATGAATAGAAGTAACAAATCATAAAAACTAGTTAGAAGTTAAGAGCAACAATTAGAGGTATTTGATTGGAGAATAGGGTTTGATTAGGAGATCATAGGCAGGTTAGGGTGTTGCTGGAGATAGTGCTGGCTCCCAAGTAGAAAGATCAAGATTTAACCCAGGAGATAATGGGCTGTGTAACTCCAACTCTGGTATTCCCCCATACTGCACAAGTAGGATAAGACTTCACAACTTGATATTAAACTTAGATTAGAAAAAAAAATAGTGGATAATAGCTGTTGCCCAGATGAGGATTTGAAGAATAATGAGAAAAGAATTGGGGAAAGTGAATTATCCATGGTAGTTATTGTGCCATTGAAAAAGCAAATTAATTTGAGGTGAGCTGAGAGGGAAAAGGGTAAATAATAAGAGGCTAGACAAAAAGACTGAGAATAAAGATTCTGTAGTCTTTAGAGATGAGAAAGAAAATCAAGCAAGCAGGAAGGAAAAAAATTAAGCTTGATATCTTAGAAGCCGAGGCAGGTTTGAGTGGTGACTAATAATGACTCACTTTTAAAATAGTAGCAGAGAAAATAGGATGAAGGTCGTTGGTACCATAAAGGAGTTACCTGCCCCCCAACTAATCTGCACACCTAGTCCTGTGCCTGGGAATAAGTGCACAAATGTAAGTGTGATACACTGATGAGGTCGTCACCAAAAATACACCTTTAATGTCTAAGGGCTCAAAGGAAAGGGTGCAAAACAGGAAGACACTGACATTTCAGCGGGTGTGTGTGTGTGTGTGTGTGTGTGTGTGTGTGTGTGTGTGTGACCAAGATCGGTTAGTTGTGATGAGAAACAGGAAACTTAGGGTAAAAAAGCAGCATGGGTCATAAAATAAGGAAAGGTTGAGTGACAGTAGTAGAAAAGTATTAAGCTTCAGGGCAAACAGAAAGTTTGTGTTTCACAACCACCTCTATCCTCTTAGTAATGCCTGGGTACCTTCCTCAATATTTAATTAATCAAATGTAAAGAGACAAATAGACTTTTTAGAGTTTACCAGAAAATAGAGCCCTAGAACATCCAACACAGAAGGTTAAGAGAACACAGAACCCTATAATGCCCTACACAGAAGGCTACTTTCCATAACTTGAATAGGTATGCAATTGCCCTATTCCCATATCCCCTTCTAGCAAAGCACAGGGTCATGAGATGGAGACCCAGCTGCAAAATGGAGTAAGGCCTTCCGCATGTGGCCAACCTGGCCCCTTGTTCCATCTGTAGGACCTTGTGGCTCTGCAACTCCCTTCTTCCCAGAAGTGAAATCTAGGTCCCAGGGGTTAAAGCTTTAGCACAGACATGTGTCTAATGAATAACGTTCATTGATTTCCTAGCCCGGGAAATCAGCAATTCCTTTTCAAACAATAACTCTGATTATTGACAGAAAGAAGGGGGAATCTGGGAAGTCTGTCACATGGCATTGCTGCTCTCCACCCCTCAAAGTCATCAAAGGTACACACAAAACCTGAATGCTTGGAGTCTTAAGAGTGTAGTGGACAGCCACCTTTCTATCTCCTACGAAAGTAACTGCTGCTATTGTCGTAGTTCTGGGCTGAGAGCATGGATAAGCTGATTCTGCTGCTTGGGGTGTCCATCCTCGCCAGTCTTCTGTCAGAAGCCTTTGCTCAGACAGGTAAGGAGTTTACTACAGTCGGGGAGAAAAGTCGATTCTGAGCTATTGTTTCTCTGAATTTGTTGAAAACAATTATTTGTCATATTTTATCTCACAGACCTCACAGGAAAAGTATTTGTGTTCCCCAGAGAGTCTGACAGCAACTATGTGAAGTTGATCCCACGTCTAGAGAAACCTCTGGAGAATTTTACACTGTGTTTTCGAGCCTATAGTGACCTTTCCCGCCATCACAGTCTTTTCTCCTACAGTACCAAGGGCAGAGACAATGAGCTACTAGTTTATAAGACAGAAGTTGGAGAATACCAACTGTTTATTGGACATTCAAAAGTCACAGTCCGTGGTCTGGAAGAACTCGCTTCCCCAGTGCATTTCTGTACCAGTTGGGAGTCCTCTTCTGGCATTGCTGAATTTTGGGTCAATGGGAAACCTTGGGTGAAAAGGGGTCTGCAGCAGGGGTATGTTATAAAAGACCAACCCATTATTGTCCTAGGACAGGAACAGGATACCTATGGAGGAGGGTTTGATAAGTCCCAGTCCTTTGTAGGAGAAATTGGAGATTTGAACATGTGGGACTCTGTGCTAACACCACAAGACATTAAACTTATGTACCATGGTTCCACTCTTGCTCCTAATATTCTGGATTGGAAAAATCTGACCTATGATATAAATGGCTATGTAGTCATCAAGCCCTGTGTGTGGCTTGATTATTATTAAGTTCTTACAATAAGACCTCATAAAAATGAAATGATCAATGTCCAAGAAATCAAGTCAGCACAACTTGACACTCAATTCTTTTTTCTTCTTTGTGAACCTCCTGTCTATTTAGCAGTTTAATAAAAACATTATCTAATTCTGCCTGCCTTTGTTGACTGTTTGACATAATCTCAAATGCTTTAGTTCTGATCTACTCTTCTTGATAATTGGTATTTCAATATCTAGAAAAATCAAGCTGTAAAGAAGGGGAATGGAAAATTAACCACGAGGAAAATGGCAACACTTACTAGCTACTGATAATCAACTTAATAATAACTCAAAATATGTGTAAAATTACAGTAGAAATCCTTCCATTTGTTTTTCCAAGTACAAGTCAATTAAAAAGTCTGATGTTGCTCAAGGGACACAACTATAATGAGATAGGTAACCAACAGTTAAGGACTTGACAGCAAATAATGAGTCAGGAAAGCTAGAATAGGAAGGAAAACTACAAATGTAAAAGAAATTGATCATTTTGTATAAAGAAAAACATGATTGATGTCTCAAAAATCCCAGTAGTAATGTAGAGCACCTGACTTTTGTAATACCACCGAGATGCCATCAAGGACATACTGTATATTTTCTGAACATGTAATAAATATTGCTAATAGAAATGTCTTTAAATTCCTTCAATGATCCCTGTGACTCACAAAATATAACCCAAATCTCAACAAGTGACTTTGCCCTCTGTAACCTGGTCTCCACATTGCTCAATGTACACTTCAGTTACAACACAGCACAGCAAGAGGCCACCAGCTATAACACTTTATTGAGATGATTATAAAGAGCATGAAACACAAGACCTCACACATTCTCTAAATACAAGGAAGACCTTCCTGAAGAAGACAGAGTTTGAGCTTTATGTGAACAGACAAGTAGGTCTAGCTCAAAGATAATGGAGCACGAAACCCAGAAAAGTCACAAAGATAGCATCCAGAACAATAATCAAAGCAATTGCTTCTGAGGTCAACTTCTCAGAATGGACAAAGAAGCAGGCGCCAAAACAGGTAGAAAAGAGTCTGAGAAATCCATAATGAGGCAGTGACTTCACATGAGAAGAAACAAGTAGAACCCAGGGAAATTTACTATTCAGAATATTAAGTTATTTAGGATAGAGATTTTAGCAATGTGGAAATCATTCACTTTTAACTTCTATCTTTTTTAAAAATAATTTTTTCATATTCTGATCACAACCTCCCCCTCCAACACTTCCCAGAGCCTCCCTACCTCCTCACACAATCAACTCCATACCTGCTTTTTCTCTCTCTAAAAAACAAACAGGTAAAAAGGAAAAAAAGCAGAAACACACACAAAATCCATCAAAACACAAAATTGGAAACCATACTGTACAACAAAGATAAATAAGATAAAAGTGCTCAACCAAAGCAATATGAGACCAAAAGAATAAAAAGTTGGGGGGGGGGGAGTACTATGAGACAATGGTCTTGTACCCTGTAAAGATTTGTCATTTGTATTGGTTTATTAAAATGCTGATTGGCCAGTAGCCAAGCAGGAAGTATAGGTGGGGTGACTAGAATAGGAGAATTCTGGGAAGAGGAAAGGCTCAGTCTGCTGTTGTCACCCAGACCCAGAGGAAGCAAGATAAAAATGCTTCACTGATAAAAGGTACCAAGCCATGTGACTAACACAGACAAGAATTATGGGTTAATGTAAAATGTAAGAGTTACTTAATAAGAATCCTTAGCTACTAGGCCAACCACTTGATAATTAATGTAGGCCTCTGTGTTTCTTTTGGACTGAATGGCTGTGGGAACAGGCAGGACAGAAACTTCTGTCAACAAATGGCACCAATGTGGGTAACTACATCCACATAAAACCTGAGAGAGCTTGGGAAGTAATTCTTTTTTTTTTTTAAGTGATTCATCCTTTATATACTTTTATTTACTTTTCATTTTTTTTTATATAATTTTTTTTATTAAGAAAAGAAGAAAAAAACATAAACAAAAAACAAGTTTCCACCTCCTCCCAGCCTCCCATTTCCCTCCCCCTCCTCCCACCCTTCTCCCCCTCCTCCCACCCTTCTACCCCTCCCCCCACTCCTCTCCCCCTCCCTCTCCAGTCCACAGAGCAGTCTAGGTTCCCTGCCCTGTGGTAAGTCCTAGGTCCTCCCCCCTCCGTCCATATCTAGGAAGGTGAACATCCAAACTGGCTAGGCTTCCACAAAGCCAGCACATTAAGTAGGATCAAAACCCCGTGCCATTGTCCTTGGCGTCTCATCAGCCCTCATTGTTCGCCATGTTCAGAGAGTCCGGTTTTATCCCATGCTTTTTCGGTCACAGTCCAGCTGGCCTTGGTGAGCTCCCAGTAGATCAGCTCCACTGTCTCAGTGGGTGGGTACACGCCTCGTGGTCCCGACTTCTTTGCTCATGTTCTCCCTCCTTCTGCTCCTCATTGGGACCTTGGGAGCTCAGTCCAGTGCTCCAGTGTGGGTCTCTGTCTCTGTCTCCATCCATCACCAGATGAAGGTTCTATGATGATATGCAAGATATTCGTCAGTATTGCTCTCGGCTAGGGTCATTTCAGGTTCCCAATCCTCAGCTGCCCAAGGAACTAACTGGGAACCTCATGTTGGGCACTTGGGAGCCCCTCTAGGATCAAATCTCTTGCTCACCCTAAAGTGGTTACCTTAACTAAGAATTGTGGTTCCGTGCTCCCCTATCCACCTTTCCTTTATCCCAATTCTCCTGATTCCCCAAGTCCCCCCTCCTTCCCTTCTACCTTTTCTCTCCCCATCTCCCCTTACCCCCATCCCACCCCACCCCCAAGATCCTAATTTTCTCCCCGGCAATTGGGTCTACTTTGGGAAGTAATTCTTGACACAAAGTAACAGTTAAGCACAGTTGCTTGGTAGCAGCATTTTCTCAGGTGGCCTCTGTTTGCTAGAGGCAAGCACATCTCATTTAAGAGAGGCTTCCTGACCCAGCTTTACCTATAAAAAACTTTGCAGCTCTTTTAAGAGGCCCTACCACCAAATACTTAAATTGTGTTTATGAATAGCTAACAGCCTGCTTCTTGGTGGTAGCAGTGACCTTGAAAATTCATAGAGTGGTGACAATATATATGGCTCCCATCAGTACCTCTGCCATGAAGCTAGACTCTCAGAAAGCTAAGAAATGGGATGGATCCAACAGTCAAAGCCACGGTTTTAATCCTAGTCATATCACTTAGCAAATTAAAGACTCATGTGATCAGAAAAAGAGATATACAGTGATCATAGATTCAGACTAAAAATAAAACCTCTAAATGGTTTACAATGTGTTTAAAAATATATGTAGGCTCTAGAGAGAATATTTTTTTAAAAAATCCTTAAAAAAAGAAAGTAGTTGGGTATGGTGGCATACACCTTTAATCCCAAAACTTGAGAGGCAAAGGAAAGTGGATCTCTGTAAATTCAAAGACAGTCTGGTCTATGGAGTGAGTTCCAAGACAGCCAAAGATACACAGAAAAAAATTAAAAATAAAAGTAAAAAAAATAGAGTTTAAAATAAAACCACATCAAGATGGAAAATACACATAGAATCTGGATACTGTATGTTATTGTGTTGCCTTTGAATTGTTTGATGTCTGAGGAAGGAACAGCAGCTGCTAAAAGACATTTTATTATAAATGCTGATGGATTAATCCAACATATATATTTTGAAAATACCTTGATTTTAAAATTTAATTCAAAAGATATGTTACTTTCGAGAAGAGGTTTTGCTGCTTTTGTTTCCAAAGGAAATGAGAGGCTGTGAATTCATTCTGGGTTAAGAAAAATCAGGTTTGACCAAGGAAAACTCCCTGAACAAATAGGAGCAGAGGGCCCAGATGATCCAACATTTCAGAGGACCTCTGTTAGAGTTTCCTCTGAGTTCTACATCTAGAACAGTCTCAAGACTGCTGGCTGAGATGATCAAGCTTCACAGAATACTCTAGTCAGGACTTGACCACAATCGTAAATTTTCTTTGGGTCCCCATAAGATTATCGGAGCCCCCAATAAGCAGAAAGTAGCCTAGAAAAAACATGCCCACATTCCCAAAAAATGGATTATGGATGCTTGTCTTTGTTTAGAGTGTTATTATCGATAATAGTCAGAAAAAAAGCTCAACAAAGGATATTAGATTCAGTGTTCTTGTTTTAAAAAGAAAAAAGGGGGAAGTACTGTAGGACAATGGTCTTGTACCATGTAAAGATTTGTCACTTGTATTGGCTTAATAAATTGCTGATTGGCCAGTAGCTAGGCAGGAAGTATAGTCAGGGCAGCTAGAACAGGAGAATTCTGGGAAGAGTAATAGCTCAGTCTGCAGTCATCACCTAGATCCAGAGGAAGCAAGATCAGAATGCCTCACTGATAAAAGGTACCAAGTCATGTGGCTAACACAGACAAAAATTATGGGTTAATTTAAGATGTAAGAGTTAGCTAAAAATATGCCTAAACTATTTGCCAAACAGTGTTGTAATTAATATAGTTTCTATGTTATTATTTGGTTCTGGGTGTCTGGGAAATGAACAATCTCTGCTTACACCATTGAGTTCATTTTATATTGGTCTATACTGCTAAGCATGGGGCCTTGTAAGTGTCGTGTACACACCTAGTGGGAAAAAAATGATTTTTCCTTTGTGAGAAGTTGTTAGTTAGTGATAGTGTCTTAGTTAGGGATGAAAACTCATGTCTGCTTCCTCCTCTCCATTCTCGGACCACATCTGGCCCTGTGCATCTATCACATTCTCTGTGAGTTAGTATGTATATCAGTCCTGGTTGACATGAAAAGCCTTGTTTTCTCAGTGTCCTCCATCCCCACTGGTTCTTCTATGTTTCCTCCTCCTCTTCTTTCTTTAATTTATATTTTTAGACATTTTAAACATCTTTTCTCATTTTTTGATCATCTCTCCAGCCCTCTCCTCCTCTCTAATAGTTCTTGGAGCCCTGAGGTGAGGAACTTGAAGAAACCATCCCATTAATGACTGAGTGTTTCAAGGTCTCTCACTCTCTGTACATTGTTTAGGTGGGTGTCTGTCCTACTTCCTATATACCACAAGAGGAAGTTTCTGTGATGACTGAATTCACCATCCATATTATAAGTTCAGTTTACTTTATGGT